AAAACACATTATCTAAATGATAAAACCGTGAATTTAAAACCCACTGAATATGCCTGAAATAGTAAATCTGCGAAATTTAAACCCAGTAAAAATTAGTCTCTTTACAGTATCCAGGTTTTTCCTTGACTGTCAAATAACAATTCACATGGAAAGATTTAGCACAATTTATAATTTCAAAAGTGTCCTCACTTCAATCCTAATGAGCATTTTAAAATTATACTCTCATGGGGGGGGGGGGGTTAACACAAAAACGTATAAACCAACCTACTTATTGAAATTGGCTCTTGAAACATAATCAGTTAGGTCAGTAAGGATGTTCTGAAGAAAAGAAAAAAATATCATGATACCAATTTAATGCTGTTGTTTGTATCTGTATCAGGTGTGTGTCGGCCGCAGATGATAATACTGCTATAATATGGGACATTCAGACTGGGAAAAAGCTAGCCACGCTGGCTTTCCACAGTCGACCTATCACTAGTATGTTAGTAATTCAAAGTGAGCATGTGCAGAATGAATACCTGACTGAAAAAGTACTACTCACTGGATCATCAGATAAAACTATTGCATTCTGGGATTTGGAGAATGGACAACTCTTGCATACGGTTAATGAACATAACAGCACTGTAAAGGTAAGCCCTTATTTAATTTCATCTACTAGGATTTAAAGTTGGTTTTCAGATTTTCTGGCAATTTTCTTTTCTTACATTTGTGATGTCTGAATGACTATGCACTATGGAAAAACCATGAAGTCATCGTTTTCATTGAAACTAGTTTAAAAGGTACTCACTCTTTGCGTTTGCTCATCGTAACTGCAAATTTCTAGTGCCTACATTTTTTTGTATTTTAACTAGTTTGATGCTACTAACTAACATTATTACTTCACTGGCATTGGTGTTTAATTTTACCATGGAAATCATCTAGCATTACGTAATTTTGACGCTTCATATTCATTGTTAATCTTTTACAGTGTCTGGTTACTTGGGAAGACTGCCATATATTTTGTTCTGCAGGAAAAGATCTCTGTGTGTTCAGCCATCATGGGATATTAATAACCAAGTTCAGCAGACAAGATGAAGACGGTAATATTTAAAATTTAAAAACAAATTAATCTGTTTATCCAGCTTTGTTGTTGACTCAGTTGACAGAGTGAAGCTGTTCATATTACTGATTGTTCGTTATTGGTGTCAACTTCACATTTTTGAAAACGACCCACTTGAAAGTCTACTTGCTTTTAATACACATCTTGAATTTTCAAGGTGAATGTTCCGGCGAAGCACTCGGCTATCACCTTGAAGTATTTCATTAGGACTATGTGTATGTGACAATGCCCTCACAGTTTAGAATCAATTTACCAACAGCCAATCATATTGCTTCTTTCTTCAACGCGCTTGACCAAGCTATCGAAAAACCGGTGAAAACGGTTAAATATGAGAAAACAGTACGACCTTAACTTTGAAGAAATCCTAAACAACCAAATTTAAATATGTTGCATATGTAGGGGTAATCTTGTTACACTGTTCAGGGGTGTCAACGACCATCCCAAAATACCGTTTTCTGAGATTTATTGGACTTTGTTTTCACCATGATGGTTGCCAGGCGGTGAAAATGTCTGACCCGAGAATAAATTTCGCTGCACACAGTGGAAGATGTGTTGGCTTGGATGTCAAGGCAATACAGCGACGATATCCATACATCATGCAACTCACTGATATTCAGACTAAAGCTATTCAAACTATACTTAGTGCCGTGTCTGATGTGTTCGTTTTTAGTCGCACAGGAAATAGTAAATCCTTATGTTATTATGCTTTACCGGCCTTGCGATCATCGAGCGTGGTAATAGTGTTGTCACCACTGTTGGGTACTAAGAAGAGTAGGTGTTATACCTCAAAGCTCATGATGTCACTGCAAGATATATCGGCAGAAATGAAGCCGAAGACATCAGAAATGCAAAGCTCCAGCCGTTTCTGGCAGTCATTGTAACAAAGCTTTCTATTGGTCGGTAAACTTTCTATCGCGCAACCACGTGACATACACGGTTATGAATAGAATTACCGCACGGTGTTGTAGAGAGAGGAATATCCGAATGGAACAACACCGTGCAGGCGGACAATGTTAATACATGGATGAAGTTGGGTCCTTGGACGGGTGAAATTGGGTCCTTCGGCGAACTTCTCTCAGATTTGTTCATTTCATGAAGATATCTTCAAATCACTTACACAATGTATATTGTTGAATATTTTTGACTTCTACTTGAAAACATCTCGCCCAATTACTTCAATATTTTATATGTAGATTGAGTACCTTGAGTAAACCTTGAGTAAACATTAGTCAGATTGGAATATTTTGTGACGATTTCTTCAATTCTCTAATTTAAGTGAATATTTTTGTTTCATTTTTGTAAAAACGGTTAGCCTGATTGCTTTGATTTTGTAGATGTAGACAACTCAAGTGGACCTCTGACCGATTTGTTCATTTTGTGACAATAAGTCTAATTTTCTAAAAAAAAATTAATTTTTCAACTATACAGCAGAGTTATATCTGCCAATATCAATATCTGCTTGTTTACTAACAAATTACTGAAATTAAAACCAAGCAATGATGTTTATATTATGAAATTCTTTACAGTATTGCTAGAAAGTATTTTTTTGTCTAAGACAATAACATATAATGGAGTTTTATGTGTGATAGATTATGAAGATAAAATTCAAGCTGAATTTTCCTAACTGTCAAAATTTGCCTCGCTCCAAATTAAAACACTTCACATTATCAGTCCCTGTTTGGATGCAGTCTGACAACGGCGCTTATGAATTGCCTGTTTCTACATCATTTTGTTTTTCAGATCGCTTTCAAAACGATTGACTGACAGACATTTTGTATTTACGAATGCTGCTCAAAACCCCAATCTCTGACATGCCTTGACTTATTGCAATCAAACTTTACAACTACATTATACATCATGTCACCCATATTTACTGGTACATGCATTTGTTTTCAAGCTTAGGTGCAAAATAGCTGACTTATTAGTGTTAAGTCATCGTCATAATGTAGCGTGTATTCTTCGGTTTCTCCATATACAGCTGACATTCAGTGTCTTCTGCCGATAAAAAATAATCGTGTTGTGGTGGCCTTCCAGAGTGTATTGGCCGTATATAAGCTGATACTATCAGATGAAGAGGAAGTACTTAGAGTTGAACACTGGAAAACATTACCGTCGTCACTGCAACACAGAGAAGCTATCAGGTGCCTAATTAAAATATCAGGTAAAGAGACCAACAATCTAAAAAAAAACAATGATAAGTTGAATTAAACTTAATGGTGTTGGGCAAAATTGAAAACTACATGATGTCATTGTCTTCTTGCTTTGATTATTATGCTTAAATGCCATTAGAAAACTGGAAATGAACTAATAATCTTCATATGAATTCTAAAATTGTTAAAACGCTTTTAAAAAACGGACATTTAATTTAGACTTCAGTTTCCAGTGGGATAATACTGGGGTATAAAGTGGAACTATGCAGTGACCTTGGGCAGTAATGAAACTTTTAAATATGGACTAATGCCTTAATAAATTAATTAATTTCATTAAAAAAATATCATAATATTCAACAAAAAAAGGGACATTTAATTTAGAATTCAGTTTCCAGTGTAATAATACCTGGGTATACAGTGGAAATATGTAAGTGACCTTTGTCAGTAATGAAACTCAATGCCTTAAATAAATTAATTACATAAAAATATATATATATAATATTCAACAAAATATATGTACATGTATAGTGCATAACCAGTATGTGTGTTCTTTAGGAGTAAATAAAATAAATTATAATTTCTCATCAAAAATACAACTCTTGTGTCAAGTGTGTCATTCAGTATATTTTGAAAATTATTCCAGACTATTGACACAGAGGGCATCATTCATAAATCAGAAGCAAATCTTCAATTAATTCCTTGCTTGGTTGTGGATGAAAATCCAAATATGGCATATTGACTTTTCCAGATGTATCATTTGCAAGTGGTTCTCTAGATGGTACTATCATGGTATGGACTAGTCATGGTCTGAACCCATCAAGAGAATTTAACTTTATTAAAAAATACAAAGGTGATCACCATGCTTATCCATTCAGTGTACAACATATGGTTGCAATTGAGGAGGTAAGATGCACAATATGCACAAGTTTTAAGTTCCGCCGTCACCTTAGCAACTTGTGCACTCTGGTGTGAAAACATTTCAATTTTGTCTACTTTCGGGGAGGAGGGGTAATTTCGCAGTTGAATACTTTAACACATTGTCTGCTAAAAGCCGCACAGATAGCAAAATTGAATGAGAAAAATGACATTTGCAGGTGATTTTTTAAATTGTGCAAAATTTTGGCGGGAAAAATGATGGTGTTCAAATGAATCACCAAAACTGTTTCAAAATGTATAGTTAATATGAATGAACTCTCAAAGCATTATGTATCATCGATTATAGTATTCTTGAGGGGAATTCATTGGGTTTGACAGACACATATCGTTTTTCACTTTTCACAAAATCGACTTTGATTTTTTCCATATTTTTCAACAATTTTGATCAAGACTTGTAGGCAGGTGATAATTGTATTCATTTTATGAAAAAAATTAACAAAAAAATGATAGAAAAATACTTTAAAATGTCCAACATTTTGGCAAGAAATGCCCACAGCTTCAATGCTACAAAAAATTTCCATAGAAACAAGAAACCATAACTTCAGACAAACACAAGAAAAGTGACATATAAAAATGACTATATATAGTACCGATACTTACTATAATTTGTTTACTTCTTACAGAGATATATTCTAGCAGCAATTGGATCTGGTTTCTGTCTATATGATGTCATCAAAGAAACCTGTTTAGCTCAAAGTATAAATTCACATTATTCAAAGATTCTTCATATTAATTTTGTTTACAATGGGTAAGTGATCAGTTAAATGTGTAAATTCAAGGAATTCTGTTTGTACAACTATTATGTACTGGTATTAACCCTTTGAGTGTCGTACTATAAAACCTTTTATTTTTCACTGATATTTAAAGGCGAACTAAATAGAGCCTAATTTGGTGTTTGTATTTAGCAAGTTATGTATATTGATCATAAATTTGAAAAAAAAATTTAAAATAATGATTGTCATAAGTATTATGATGATTTAAATATGAGAAACCATAAACCTGCGAAGGACTTCCGTTTGCGCCATCTTGCCATAAAAAAACACCCTCATGAGGTATAAACAGGAAAGGTAACAAAGCATGATGACGAAATAGTATCTGATTAAATATAAACAACTTAGGGAGCCATAGTTGGCTGGACTGGTGAATTGACTTCTAGTCTAGGTTGTTTCACTTTTACGTTAATGTTATTTACAAGCTTATCAACATACAAACATTTTGGATGTGCGAAACAGGCATTTTTTTATCTAACTGTCTAATAAATGCTGTTTCCAGTACTGCACTGTGCATGCAAATTATTTCAAAGTCTGGATGCTGGAGTATGCAATCTTGAGTTTGTAGGGTGGTGGTGGAATCATTTTCATTCATGTATTAACGGGGCTGCACTGACAAATCATGGGACAATTGTCACAGGAATACCAAGCAGATTGTTCACAGACCTCCGTGTAATTTGAAATAAAACTATCATCTGAACAATGGGAATCGTCGACGTCAGATATACTCTCATCACTGACACTGGACTGATCTGAATCTTCACAGTATACCGTACTTCCCTGGTCATAAGCTCGGAGGCATGAACACGTAAGAGAAAAGTAGGGGATGAGCTTATACTTGAGGATCAACTCAGAAAAGATTATTTTGTTTTGGGGTTAAACACCGTAACCATCTTGCCTACAACGAAAAATTATCCAAAAAAATTATTCATTAACCACGCCGGGCTCGGGAAAATAATACTTCTTTTTGGAAAAAAATGCGTCATTGATTTCTACTAAACTTTTACAATGAAGAAACAAACATCTTCATAAAAACACACATTTGATTACAATGCGATTTACATACCGTCTGAATTTACGATGAAATAATGGGTAGGGTCTGTGGGGAAACAGTCGAAGGCGTATGCAAACTCTCGAAAGTAATTTTTCACCATGAGGTTTTTCATTAACCAATCAAAATGATGTGTCGTAATGATGAAATTTTTTGATTATTGACGATGATTTTTTAACGCAATGCGGAAGTGAATTACCGCAATGTTAAAATGTGATCTGTAGCACAACGAAAAAATGATGATTTTTTTTCCTGAAAACTTGCAATTTGCAATTTCAGAAAAGTAAAAGTAAAATAGTAACTGTGGGTAAACTGAGTGTGGAGGAAGAATTTAATCACTATTCACGGTCGCCAACATGTCACATCGTTCAAACCCTAGGCCTTTGATGATAGTCTCAAAGTAAAACATTAATCAGGTACACAACTTAATGATCACATTTTTGGTTTTGCGAAAGCTACTACTTAAAGAAATATGGATTACTTCAGTATTGCAACATTGGGGTTCATCCTGAGTAAATGACAGAATAGAAGGATGCGAACCACGTTGTGTACGTTTGCCATGCACTCTGAAATTAATGCGAGTTTTCTCATAAAAGCACGAACCAAGCTACCATGCCAATCACGATTATTATGAAATGAAACACACTTTTTACACGCATACTTTAAAGAATATCGTTGATGCCCAGTAAAAACACTCTGGGCTTATAATCGTGAATGCCCTCAACTCAATAAATACCTAGTACAAATAGGGATGGGCTTACGATCAGGCTGAAGTACGGTACTTTAACGCAATTGGGCTTCCACTCTCAGAACACTGTGGTTCAAACACATAATGCTCTAATCCATGTTCTCAAAAGCACATTGTGCATATAAAAGTTGAGTTTATATTAGTAGTACACAATGCTTGGCAGCATGAACGGCTATGTACAACTGCGTATACGAATGCGATCAGATAGTAAAACGTCATAGCTTTGAAAAGTACCCGGATGTTAAATATGTCCGTTCGTTATTAAACAAGTCATTGTCAATGACACGTCCCCGTTCCGTTCATATTTGAGTGACATATACATTCAAAGAAGATCATGACCGAAATGCACCTGCATATGTACAACACATTGTGCTAAATCTGAACAAAATCCATCCATGCATGACTGAGATCCGGTTCTGGAATTGTGAAAATACGTGATTTTGATGCATTTTCGGCCTTAAAATGGCCATCATTCCGCTATTGTTAAGCAGATCATGAAACAAATGCACATATCTATTTGTGACATGATGTACCATGTGTGTGTGAAGTTTGAACTTGATCAATCCAGACATGTCTTGGATACGGATCCAGAACTGAATTCTTTAACAAATGGCCGCAGTCGGCCATTTCGAACTTGATCCGAAAAA